CGGCAGAATATAAGAAGAAACTGTCTCACAAAGGTGTTGGATAATTCTCACTGTACAAAAAAGGGGGAGTATAGGCTTAAATACAGTCTCCGGTCTCAGGGTAAAATAAGCACCATCTTCAGACACACACAAATCTGGGTCAGGTGACCTGAGAAAATTGTATTCAGATAAAGTGATGACCTCCATTACAATGTATCAATCATACTATCTCACATGTCACGGGTAAATGCTGTGCAGTCTGAGGAGTTCAACTGCATCAGGTTCTGGACTATCTACTTGTCAACAGTCACATTGTTAAGGAGATGAAAAAGCAAATAGGTTTAATGCAAAGCTAATTCAAAAGGTTTAGTTGCAAAATGCTTCACACCAAACACCTCAAGATTTATTAATTCACTAGATTTATACTCTCTGACCAAAGGTTGACACAAAATGTCCATTATATTACTGCAATGCAATTACATTACAGTATGTACAGAATGCAGTGGGTGTTCCCGGATATAAACCAATTAAAGAATGACATTATCGACACTACATGTGTAATGATGAGGCTCACGCATGACACATATTGTAGGCTGATACCATACGAATATCAAAATCAATACAGTTTAGGAAAAAATATATTTGATGTTGTAAATATGAATGTGAGTATAAACTTGTGTAAAATGTTGAATTGCATTTTAATTGCTGTATTAGTCATAAAGACTGTGATAGACTATTCCAGGCCATTATGATGCATTAAAATGAAAAGCCTGGCTGATTAGTTAAATTGTTCCTCAGCTTTAGAGAAAAACTAGAAGTTCAAATAGAGTATGTTAACCATTAGAACAATTGCAAAGCACTGTAGAAAACCCTCCCCCTTCAGAACAAAACCAGTACAGTACTGTACTCCAAAAATGTGCGTGCAGCCATGCTGAGCACAGGACATCTTTCAATTCACTGCAAACTGTACGAGGAGGGCTGCTGGCAGAGCTCATTTAGAGAGCTGTCTTTTAGCCCCGCTGTTTATTGGGATGTGAGACCGGTGCAGTTAGACGGGGCCTTTTGTTCATCAGTTTTCTTTGCTGGCCTTCTTGTTTGATCAGATGCGTTTGCCACGCATGATCTGCACCCGTTTGAAGTGTGGTCAATTGGCACAGCGCTGTGCATTCTCTTTTTCCTGGAGAAAAATCGTCAAGAATTCACTGCAGTTGTGAGAGTATGGAAAGGCGAAAAAATGACAGTGAATGTTCCCCATGGCGATTGGCCATAACGCAGCCTACATATTTCATTTAATTAATTCTCACGAGGCTTGTTAGCTGCGTCAATACTGAAAATTGTGGAATAAAAATACATTAAAATGACTTCAGATAGCAACAAAATAAGGGATTTTTGCAAGGCTTTGAGATTTCTGTGGCATTTAAATGGAAAGGCATTATTTGGGGGGGGGGATATGTTAACCAACCAAAAGGGCCTTGAAAGAAAGTTTGCCCTGATCTGGAGGTGAAGAAAAAGAATGATGCAAGCAAAATGAAGAGCGGTTTGTTCTCTAGCCTTATCTGTCACCATCAACCATAATATGTCCTGTGCTGTAGATTCATTTAAAGATTATGGAGTGCCATGCGTTTGCACGGTGCAGGGGCGTGCCAAGGCAAAGGAGACATCACAAATCGTACAGCCGGCTTCTTTCTGAATATATGGCACAGCTCAGCTTGTTCGTATACTCGTGCCCGTAGCATCCCTCTGATCTGCTTCTTCTTCTGCCCAGTGACACATGAAAGCTTTTCACGGAATCAAATCAACAGCCCGAGATAATTCAGTGTGACAATGTAACAATTGTGTTAGTGTGATTCTATGTGGGGATATTTCTATCATTCACACATATCTCATGAAGGCTGCGGCGGTGAAATTGGGTGAAAGTTCAGGACAGCTACCAATGTGTGCGGGGGAAATAAATGAGGTCAGTTCAAATATTGCCCCCCCCTTCCTACAGGTAGTGGCTGCACATTTATGCACAGGTGCCTTCAGTAGTCGATTCATTTCAAACTGGCAGCCCATTTTAAACATGCAGTCTACATGCCACATCTCCCCTACATAACCAATTTATCAAGCCTAACCCGGCGATACGTGCATATACTCCCATATCACAGAGAAGGCTGGAAAGCAACTGTCATAGATGGCATGATTGAATTGTTCCCTTGCACTGTCACCAGAGGGGCTATTACTTCAAATTAGCATACAAATTCAAACCAGGACAGATGGATTTGTCACATTCCAGTCGCCATCTTCCTGGAAGATTGGCTGTGCTTGTGCTGTGTGATGGAGATAAGACACCTGTCTCGGGCCCCGATCGGTGGCGGCATTGGTGGGTGGGGAAGAGGGGGGGCCCGGCGTGGGATGGGAGGAGGACCGGGTGCGGGGATGGATTTCCTGAAATGCTGAGGTGTTCTGCAATAAACTTCCCTACCCACGGTCTCAAATTATGATGAGGCACCATCCAGGACTCCGTGGGTGGTAGGAGATTGAGCTGTAGCAAGGTGGTGATTCACACTGTTTGGAAACACGCTGAACAATACCTGTCTGGTGTTTGTTTGTGTTTGCTACTTTTGGTGAGTTACTGTCCAAGAGCCACATAAAATGGCCCCTAACATCAGCGCAGGATGCAGGGATGGGTGTTATCAACAGCTGCGTGATGGAATGTACAGTACATACCTTGACCTCAAATAACTTTCCGGCTTGAACAGCAAAACCAGAGGGAAAAATCTCATTCCGACTGTGTCAGAATTCCTTTTTAATAATATGTGAGGATGCCTATGTACAGATACTACAGACGATTAAGCACAAAAAGTATGGCTGCATGCAATCGTCGTCTACCCTCGCATCAGACGCTAACAAAATACAACTTGGAGACATAATGATTTTCATTTGTAATTATGGTGGTGTGAATCAATGGGAAGTATTGAGCATGAAAAACTGTCCTTAGCTCGGGATCAATTCCATATAATTTCCAGATCAGCTCAAACTAATGGGTTTTCTATTGGCTTCACTTTGGAGAGGGTCTAATCTCTCCAGCACCATTTTGTGGTTCTGTGTATGTTCCCGAGCAAAAAGGCCCGTCCACTTAAAAACTTGTCTCCCAACAGTCCAAAAAAATATTAAAGCACACATACTAATTTCCTGACTTAGCATATTACACAATCTGCAGGCTTAATTTAAAACTCCCTTAGCAGGTCTAGTATCTCGGCCTGCCTACTTCCAGACACGACAGAGATTGCGAAAAATGCTTACTGGCTCATTTTTGCCTCCATCCTCAGGTCAATGTTATGTATATTCCCTTACAATTGATGTAAAGTTGAGATGCAGAACAGAGGAAGGCAAGGTGACGCTATCATACTGGCTACTGTGTACCTGAACAGAAGGGAAACTGGATTAGGAGCAGCTGAATAAATTGCTTTTTTAAAAGGCGATGTAAGAGACGCACTAAGAAGCAAAATGTGGTCTTTGATTTGCATTTGTCATTGTGCCCAGACAAAGTATAGCTCAAACTCAGTTAAAAAAACAATTCAAGGTTTTTCATGCATCTGGCTCCACACAGAATAGTCTGTCCCACCTGGAGTCGATTCATTGATTAGTTTATTGATAATGGATCAATCATTTTGGTAATTTTTTCAAATAATATCAAACATTTGCAGGATGTTGCCGTTTTTCTTTGTCTTACATGATAGTAAACAGATTTTTTTTAAATCTTTTTAAGTTTTGTTAAGTTAATGTGTCACAAATTGTTCACTACAATACAATGATCAGTGATTAAAAGAGTACTCCAGCACTATAGCTTTTCACTGCTACGACACCGTCAGAAGCATAATAGAAGTTGCTAGTCCATGCATTCTTCCTCATCGTCAAGAAAGTGCCTACATTACCCACAATGCAACTCATCCACAGAAGATTGGTCAGAGGGCTACAGAGGTAATCTCACTTCTTTCTAACTCCACACCCCCACATTGTTCTCCTTTCTTAAACTTCTAGCCCCAAGTGATGCAGACTTAAGTGACATCACTTGAGGCAATTTTTTGCACAGTTCCCTCTGATGCCACAAATGGATGTACATTGTTTTTTTCGTATATGTGGTACTCCCCAACACCTGTAAATAGACTTTGATATGTAAAATCGGTCACTAATGACTAGTAAATTGACTATTACCTGTAGGAGTGCACCTTTAAGAAGCAGTATGTGTCATGGTTACTACACACACACACTATTAACTGCCAGCTGCCAAACAGCAGAAATCAGTCCTTAGGGGTGGTAGGACCAAGATTCTCCCCAAGTGCACTCGCCTTCTGACCCGAGCTCAGGGATAAGCCCCCCCTGCATCTTCAGAGGTCTCTCATGAGTCATGATAATCAAGCTCTTTGTGGAATTCACGCTCTGCCACTCGCAGGCAGCTTGCCTCGTTTAAGTTGTTGACCCACAGAATGAGAGGGGAATGCTTCCCAAGAAAAGTTTGTCAGAACTCATCCAACTTTCTTTCTTGCTAAGGGTTCCTGACAAGCTTCGGTGTCGGACGCTAAGTTTTTAAAGTCTAACCTGACAAGACAGTCGTGGTTCGACTATCGTAAAACTAAATACGTGTTCAAGCTATGTCGCTGACCATTATTTTGGCGATATTTTACATCACTGCGGTGCTCAGAATTCATGCTTCTCCCAACTGCAGGCTTTACCTTCCACATAAGAGAGGCTCTGACACAAAGCAGTACAGCTAGAACAGGCTCCAGCACAGCAGGGATTTCACACTGATCTTGTTCCGAAACATTTGTAATTAACATTCTCCCTCACTCCAACTGTTTCTGAAGCTATCAATATCCCAGTAAGAAGATTTAACTTCCCTGAAGAGCCAGGAAACGAGCTGGATTTGGCAGGTCAAAACGTGATTGCTCAGTGCCTGCGTGTGTGTGTGTGTGTTAGAGTTAAGTGAAAAGTTTATGCACAGATTATCCTGTTATTTTAATGCTGACACTGGAAAAATGTTTTATTACAAAGTCATTTTTATTAAGTTGAACAGTGACAGGAAATGTGACCAGAGTGCCGCTCTTAGTATCTCCATGACAAGAGGACAATACATTATGCCCGCATCAAAACACAGTATAAATTACGTTTGATCAAAAGCTTCTCTCCGTGGACTAATGTCGTTCCAGCAGTAGAAGCAAAACAACAGCCAAGAATCCCCTGCTGTGACTTAGTATGGATGTCTTAGAGAGGAATGTTGAAATTTGACATGAAATATCATGCTTTGAACAGAAATGGTTAATGACTAAATTCCTGCCAACCAGTCATTTACAGTACATTTCTAGTAGTGCTCAACCCCCTTGGATTCAAAAAAGAAGACGCAAGGTGGCCTCGAACGGTTAACAGAACACAATTCATCATCAAACATGAAAATACATTACACACAGTGAGACAAAAATAGAATTCAAAATGAGGTTGTTGGTGAAATTAAAAAAAATAGAGACCGCTCATATGAGTTCAGATTTTCCTTTGTACAGACACTGAGGATGCCGTTGCAGCACATGCAGACCTTTTTAGTACTGGGTGTATTCCTTGGATGAGAGTTTTGCAATGATACGCTCCAACTGTCTCTTTGCTTCACACTGGGGGAAGTTACTCATCTGGTAGTACTGCGGGGCAATTTTCACCAGCCTAGGAAAGAAAGCAAGTAAACATTAGTCACAAAAATTGTCTCCGGTGTTTACTTGTGGGAGAACGCTGTTCTTCCATATTCACACAGTGACTACCAAAGCAATCTCAACAAATCTGATACTTAATTGTACAAGGTCACAGAGGGGGGAAGAGAAACACAGGTAGCAGGCTTATTGCAGTTCAAGTGTGTGAAAACAAGCCTGCACTGGGGAGGCCTTTGTTTTATTGTCATTAGCCCTAAGATGTTAAAACTGATTGACTTTTTTAGGTTTGGGCTGGTTGTTTAGTCCCAGCACACTGCATTAGAAACAACACATACAAGGGCAAAATTCTAACTTTTAGCTTCATTAAAGTGTGCAACACACTCCATGTCACGTAGCACTGCATAACTGCTGCCCTGGATGTGCGGTACAAACACAAAAGTGGGTAGGGTAGAGTCTGCTCATGTCACATAACGATCGATACCCTGGACCTTGATTCTGGGGACCTTTGTTGCATGGCATACCTCTCCCTCCCCCCCTTCGTGTCTCCCCCACTTTCCTGATTCACGGATGCATGTGGACGCCAAAGGTGTGTCTACACAAAGTGTTTCAGCCGTCTGTCTCACACGAGCCTGACAGAACAGACGTGCTTCTATTTTAAATCAGTCAGCTGTGTACATAGGCCGTGTAAAGGCTCTGTTTCACTAAAGCTATATGCTGAGACCCGCATTGGTTTTTTTATGCTTCCGGTCTGTTATCTTAAGTTGTATGGGCGCAACTGCGAGGCCCATCACCATAACTACCTTGGTTGGACTATATATTGCCCCAGAAATAGTTATTATTAAGAATATTATTGTCATTTTAAGACCATTTTATGTCACTGGCATCATGTGGGCTAAGATTTCTGCACCATTCAAGTGGATATTGTGACAGGAGATAATTACATATCGTATATATCATACAATAAGTCGATAATGTAATTATTGTGACAGGCCTAGTAACCACAATGTTTGTGTACACTATTAGACTCTAAACCCAAGTGACCTACACTCAATACTGTGTCTGAATGCATCCTGTATAGACATATATTGAGCACTGAAGCTGCTCCTGTGTAGACACGCGTAAGAAATAGGACAGTGATGTATTCTGACACAACAATGGGCTTCAAGATGCTGTTGGTGTTTCCACGCAAAACAACAGGTGTGGGTGTTGACGTGTGTCATACGCTGCCGGTGTGTGTTGCCCATTTGGGTATTTCTATTCATACTGGGTGAACTGTGTAGGATTTGTACCCAATTTCAGAAGACCAGAATGTATTGGATATTTTATATTTTTTAAAGATTTCCTCTAACAACAAGCTTAACAGATGTGTGTGGACACACACAGAAACACAAGCAATTCAAAAGAAAAATGGATCTCTGAAGCCATTTTGAAGAAAAAAATGATTTTTTGTGATTGTGTGCAGAAATTCAGGGTATTTCACACACACAGGCATCCGACTGCACTATCCCAGACAGAAACAATTAAGTGTTCATGTGAAAAAAAGTATAAAATAAAACCAAATTTTTTATGTAAATATTTCTATTAAAAATGTAGCAACAACTGAAACTTACCACTCTGGTTTGATGTCCGTGCATGTGCGGATGTAATTCTTGGTGGTGAGCACAAACTCGTTGTAAAGCACCCACTCCGGCTTGTGGTCCAGCACAGTGGAGGGGTGCAGCTGTACGACCTGGTTGTCCTTCACTGTGAGGTAATGGCCGGTGCGCTCCAGGTGAGCGATCTGGTCACACCACAGAGAGACAAGAGTGTCACTTTCAGTAACTAACACTCTGAAATCGAGTTCACGCAGAAAGACGAAAAAAACAAACACATATAGCCCCCCTTTATAGGTGCTTTACTTAATTTCTATAGACTATAGATTAACTATAGAGATCAATTAAAACCTCAAATACTAATATTTTGATAAAAAAGCAGCCGGACGTTGAAGGCAAACTTGGGGAGTGAGTGATTTTTCTCTACTTTGTAGGTACTAGGTAAAAATGCAGTGGCTGTTGTGATTAACTAAGGCAATCAGTCTCAATAAAGGCCTTTACCAACAAAGACATGATCTCTAATGCTGTGAAAGCTCCAACATGAGCCGCAAATTTGTCTCCAAGATAAAGGTTAATGTTGACAAATATCTAAATATTAACACCATAATTCAACTTGTCAGGTTGCTTGTTTCAGGTAGCCCTGGAAATGGCTTCTTGCTAAATGCCATTTGTTTCCTTGAGCGAGGAGCAAATTGACTAGGTTTCTTTTATGTGTTTAAAACAGCGCAGCTCTGTGTGTCCGTGTGTACTTTAAAGGGGGTGATCTCAGCTGAATTTTTAGTCAAATACTAAGTTATGCACAAAAACACTAATTTTCAAATGATCAAACTCAACAAGGGCTGTGAGCATCAGAACAATAGCAGTGGGGCTGAAAATAAAGACTGCACACATAACGGACCAACAAAAAAGGAAGTAAAACGATGTATAACATTATAAACAAAGCAATAGGACATTAAATAGCTACAGGTAGCAAGCCCAAAACTTGACTTAGAGACCCTGATGTGACTGACCTGCATGAAGAATCCAGTGACCAGCGCCCGGCGGATGTTGGTGTAATAGTCTCTGCTGCTGAACTCGGTGCTCCGCCGCGGCAGGTTGAAGCGGTCCATGATCCTGGACAACTGTTGCCGCACGTTGTCTGCTGACATCAGCGAGCGGTAGTTGACGAAATTTTCATAGCACCACTGAGTGGACTCGTGGTCTGTGTGAGAGGAGCACAGTTTAGAGTTAAGGGACAAATGAGGACGAGGTGAAACCATTTGGTGAAACCAGTGTGCAGTGGCCGCTCACTTTGTTTAAAGGCATGGTAGACGTTGAGCAGCGTCATGTGGTCGCCGTCGATGTGGGCGAAGCGCATCTTGGACTCGTCGGCAACCTTCTTAGCCTCCGTGGGACGGACGAAGCACTGTGGGACTAAACAAGGTTGGTATAGGCCCCAACACAGCCGCCCATAGGGATAAGTTAAGCAAATCCCACAGAGAGGAACAAGGCCTCAGCTCAAAGAGAGGCACAGAGCACTTCACAGGGCACACTGTATTGTGGTGGAAAAGGAAAGGAGGAGGGTCAAAGAGAAGGGGATACGGATGGGTTTCTCCATCCTGATGCGCTACAGTGTGGCTTTATACAAGCAAATATATGACACCCAGTCCAAACAGGCATTCTGTCTTATAGACCTGACACTGAGGCAAGATTAAACAGTGGAGTTTACCCAGAGGACTCTGGTTCTGCCGTCTCCCCTCTGTGAACTCTCTCTGAGTTGCTTAACGTCAAACCTGCTCGATTGCGGCTTTAATGGGTAAAAGCTGCGTTTATTGAGCCTCGTGGTCGGCTGCTGTGGCGGCACCGTTCTCAGGTGTACTTTTGCTGCTTACTCTAATGAACTCAGCAAAAACCTGCCATCCTGAAACACCTGCTTTAAGTGCACACCACGTCCAAACAGCTAGTTAAATCCATTTCCCCGCTCTCAAAGACCCTCGCACTCCCTTCAAAGGCGCCAAGATTCATCTCAATGAGCAGCATTCTGCTTTGGCAAGCCTAAAGTGCAATTACTGCTGTAGCATGCTGGTGCCGCTCCAGCTACACCTATACATTTTGTACAGACATGTATTTTCCCCCTTCCACACAAATAATAGCTGACACCACTGACTTTATCCTCTGCTTGCCTTGTAGGTAAGTTCAGTAGGTATACATTAAACTTATTCTAAGTAGATTTTAACCCCCGGGGTCTATCTATTATTCATACAGATTAAGTCAACTGTAAGTAAACATTTGTTAATGAGGGCATACAATATGTTTAACAATACCTAAAACAACTCTAATTAAGCAATTCAATTCCTCATTTCAACACAACTAAAATAAAAAGAGGGTTCAAAGAATGCAAACACACATAAGGGATAAAGAAGCTGCTCTGTATATTTCCTTCAAGCTCATTGGTCGTTACTGAAGCACGCTCCGTGAGCACAGGAAATGGAAAGAGTAGCAGCTCAAACCCACACAGTGGGCCAGCCCTGAGCATTACCTGACAACATGGCAGTGATGGAGAGGACCTCGTTTGAACAGTTGAATTCACAGCTGGCGATGACCATCTTGGCCAGCTGGGGGTCCAGGGGGAACTCTGCCATCATGGAGCCCAGCTCCGTCAGGTCACCGTCGTCATTGAGTGCTGCCAGGTAGTTCAGCAACTCCAGGGCTCGCATCAGGGTCTCTGGGGCTGCTCGAGACAGAATGGGAGAGATGGGCCATTAACAACAGTCCAAGCCCATGGGGCAAAAAAACCCACACACACACTGATGAGAGAGATAGAACAATTTGCAAAACTGTCATTTCTTTATCGCAGCGAAACTTGAGAAGAACTATTTGGAGTGCTTTCACACACCTGTGTCAGAACTGATTAATACTCTTGTTCTGCATGTTTACATGTAGAGCTGACATAAACTTTTTCAATAATCAGCGAATTGTTTTAAGTTAATTTTCAACAATAATACTAATCATTCTGGGATTTCAGCTACACAAATGTGACACTATGCAATTCTTGGTCACATTAAACAAGACATTTGAAGATGTCACCTTGGCCTCTGGGATATTATAATTGTCAATTGTGTCTTATAGACAATACAATCCTACATCGACTAATTGAGTAAATATATGGCAGATTATAATATATCATTTGATAACCAATTGAGTTCCAGCACCGGCTGTACTCATACCTTTAATAGAAGACAAATGAGTTAAGAAAAGAGACAGACACTCAAACAAAGGGAGTCTGTTTTGGGGTTTGGTGGCAGGGAGCATGAGGTCAATCAAAATGAGGAGGCTGTCAGTGTGTGATGGCCAGAGTTACGTTAGACAGCAACTTAGTGCAGAAGTAATCATGGCAGAGCTCATTTTTCATCCTCCGCTCAGGCAATCCTTAACAACGAATGCAATTACAGGGGAACTTTCTACTTAATGCTTCAACACAAAAGGCTTCCACCGTTTGGTTAAAAGATTTTTCCTCCAGATGCAATTATTGACCTTTGGCTCCCGAGAGCTGAAGCCTAATGACCAGTTGCATGTTAACTGAAAATTAGCTTCAAGCGCTGGCTGCGCTGCTCGTTCACTTTCGTTTCTCTCAAGTGCTCCCAAAAAAATTCAATTTCCAAACAGCAGGGAGGCATTTTTTTATGATTAACAAATATTGATTTGGGGCATCAAAGCTACTTTTTTTACACAAAGTGAGTGCCGGCCACATTACTTACCACACCAATGACTTGTGTGGGGCTAAACAAAAGGTGAAAATCTGATTTCCAAGTACTGCTAGCATGATGAACCAGTGTGGAAATTCAATCTATACACAACGCGGCTCATCAGAAACCACGTATTGACTGCCTCAACACACAAGAATCCGATATATTAACCAAGGGCCAAATCAATGAGACGAAAAGCTAAAGGTACATTAAACCACATTGGCTTCGAAAGGTACTTCTCTGGAAATGTCACCAGGCAAATGAATCCCACCCAGCCAAGTCCTTGTGTAAATCGCTACTGATTTCTTTTGGATTTTCCATTTGGTTGGCTGGCTCACGGTGTCGCTCCTGTGTTTAGTGAGCGAGGAGCGAGGTGAGCAAAGAGAGAAATAAACTAGATATTTGAGCATTTCACTGTGAAAGGAAAATCAAGGCTCCCATTGAGGTAGGGACAAGCGCAAATAGAAAAACCCACAGGCTTTTGGGGCTGATATTTTGGAGACAAACCCTAAACTCAAATTTAAACATCAAGATACAACAGTACAAAATGTATGTTGGCCTTGCATTACCACAATAAACACTCAGACCAGGGAGTTGATTGTAACAATTACAAGAACGTCCACCTATCCACATTTAAGATTTCAAACATATCAAATGATTAATGATTAATAAAGCACCTCAACCAACAGAAAAACCATTATCATCTCAAAACTCATTGCTTCATCCTCTTTCATGATTCTCCAGAGACACTTCTCTGACCTGTCCATTTTCTCTGAGGTGGGCCTTTGACACAGCATATCAAAACTGATCCACTGTAACTAGATGTTATAAAGCTCCTGTACAAGAATTCTCACAGAGTCAAAGCAGTCTTCATCCATAGCGCTGAACTAGCTCAAGCTTCCAGCGTGCTCAGAACCTAGTTAGGAGAAACCTTCTGCCATGAGTGGATCAAATAAATACAGGTAATCCCCCTCTTTCCCTTCACCCCACTGTTCCCAGTTAGAGTCAGCCGACAAGGCCAATCCCATATGTTGACGCTTAGCCCTGCGTTTTGTGAGAAATGTGGGGGTGGTGGTGGAGGTCAGTCACGTTTCACTGGAGGAATATAAAGGGAAGGCAATAGCTAAGGTGATAGCGCTGCTATTGATGTAACCAATTTCATTCTCAAAATGGCGTTTGCCAGAGTGGACGGGGAGAGATGGGTTTAATCTCAGAGGTGAGATGAAAACTATATTATGGTGAGAAAGTGGGGGGAGGGAGGGGGAGGTTAAGGATAGGGAAAGGAGGGGTGGTCTCCTCAGGAAGATGTAGGAACACACACTCTCCTAGAGAATGCCTTAACTTGGCGCCTCAGTGAGACTAGGTCTGTTTTTGGCCTAGATCCAGCGTGATTCAGATGTATGAGCCATAAGAAATACAAAGACAGAAAAATAAATTGACTGATAGCGAGAATCCTAACTCCACATATCACTCTCTTTTCTCACTTTGAACAGTAATCATCTAAACTTAAAAGTAGCCTGCTCATAAAAACTGTATAACACTATTGTGAAGCCCATGTCTGTCAGAGCACTTGTACTCAAATCTCCAAACATCCAGTATGCAGTATTTGATATCTGCCAGGATCATTTTATCTCTGCTTTGTCATTTTTAAGCTCCCAGGTGACACAGGCAACCCAGATTTCATATCATACATAGATGAAACAACCACAGTTCAACAAAATGTAGATTTTAAAGCAGTTTGCAACTGTATTTTTACTGATTCAGGTGATACTGATGAAACTCAAGATCTTAATATTATTTGATATTGACATTTCAGATTTCAATCATTTGGGTTGGTTTGTAACAGCAAGTGCTGTGTAAAACCACAGAAAACACTTTTGAAGTGGCTACTTTGTC